GTCTGGGGATTTAGCTCAATGGCATAAGTGTCTGCCTTGCCACTGTGTGGTCGTGAGTTCAATACCCAGACCCATAAAAAAGAAAAAGAAAAAAACAACAACAACAACAAAAACCAGCACAGTACTGTCATTAAAAAAACAAACAAACAAACAAAAAAACAGACCTAAAGATCAAAGGAATAGAAAATGTAGAAAATACTCAAAACACATTCAGCCACCTTATCTTTGATAAAGGAGCCAAACATCTTCACTGGAAGAAAGATAGCTTCTTCAATATATGGTGCTGGAAAAATTGGTTTTTCACATGCCAAAGATGAAAATGACCTACATCTTTTACCGTGAACGAAACAAAAATCAAAATGAATCAAAGATTCAAATATTCAAACCAAATTACTAACTCTGCTGGAAGACAGAATAGGCAGAATTCCTGAAGCATAGGTGTAGGAGAAGATGTTATGAACAGAACTGCAATGACACAGATCTCATTTGGGGAATTCTAATTTTTTTTGTAGTTCATTTTGTTTGTTTTGGGCTGGGTGAGAGACAGGGTCTTGATATGCAGTTTGGGCTGGCTTCAGACTCACTATGTGGCCCAGGCTGGCCTTGAATGTGTGCTGATCATCCTTCCTCAGCTTCCAGAGTGGTGGGAGTACAGGCATCTGGCATGCCAAGCTTTTTTAATTCTTTATATATCTCAGATATTAGTTCTGTGTCCAAGAAATGTTTGGCAAAAACTTTTTTCTCTTTTTGTAGTTTGTCACCTCATTTTGTTTGCTCTGCTGTGAAGCTTTTTGATAGAATTTTGTCGATTTTTGGCATTATTTCTTGTACAGCTGAGGTTCTGTTCAGAAAGTCTTTGCCTAAGTTTATATCTTCAAGAGTTATATCTATTTTATCTTTGAGTAGATTATTTCTATTTTAATATTTAGATTTTTGATTTTAGTTTAATACAGTCAGTGGTATGGATCTATATTCAATCTTTTGCACATGAATAACCAGTTTCCCTAGCACAATTTGTTAAAGAGGTGGTCTTTTCTCTGGCATATACTTTTTGGCCTGTCAAAGAAAAAATAGCTGATTTTTGTGCTCGGGGTCGTTTCTGTACCCTCTATTCTACTGTGTGTGATCTGTGTGTTTTTGTGCCAGTACCATGCTATTTTTTTAAATTTAATTTAATTTTTTTTTTTTTTTTTTTTTTTTTTTTTTTGGTACGGGGATCAAGCTTACCACTGCGCAAATGCAAGGCAGGTGCTTATGCCACTGAGCTAAATCCGCAGCCCTCATGCTATGTTTTAAAAATCACTATACCTTTGTAATATAATTTGAAATTTGAGATCTTGATGCTTCCTTCTTTATTGATGTTGCCCAGGATTGTTTTTGCTACTCTGAGTCTCTTCAAAATCCATATGAATTTTAAAAATTTTTGGGCTGGGGATTTAGCTCAGCGGCATAAGCGCCTGCCTTGCAAGCAGGCAGTCGTGAGTTTGATCCCTGGTACTGATAAAAAGGAAAAAAACAAACAAAAAAAATTTTTTTTTCTCTAGTTCTGAGAAGAATGCTGTTCCTATTTTGATTGCGAATGTGATGAAATCTATCTATGTTTTGGTAATATGGTCATTTTAACAATTTTGGTTCTGCCTATCCAGAAAGAAGGGGTATTTTTCCATTTTCTGATATCCTCTTTGAGCTCTTTTTCAGAAAAATTTTCATTACGGAGGACTTTCACTTCCTTGGGAACACCGATTGGTATGGTTTCCCTAAGTTCTCATCAATTCATTGTTGGTGTAAAGGAATGCTATTGATATACATTTTGTATCATGCTGGTTAGTTTGCATTATGGTTGGTATTTTAAACTGTAGACAACTTCATGGAGCGAAAGGCTTGGCTACCTACCAGCTGATAGCTGGACTTAAGGAACTGAATGAATCAGGAAAACTCTAACTTTAAGTGGATTAGCCTAAAGAATCCAGCATAGTGGGCTTATTGGGGATCACAGGTGTGTGCCAGGCTTGTGTTGGAGCCGTTGAAGCAGAGTACACGTGCAGGGCTATGGCTTGGCCCAGGCATAGGCATGGCTGAACTGAGAAAAAGACACATCAGGGGGCAAAATAGGCCACAGATGAGGCCACCTGGAGACTTTCTGGATAGTTTTCCTTAATTAGCACCAACTCTGTGGGGTCCTTGAATCCCTCCCAAGATCCTGCTTAGATTTCCTTCATTTTCCACTCATCTCCTTGCTTGTTCTGATTAAATACAGGCTGCCCCAAGCCGGGCATGGTGGCTCACGCTTATAATCCCAGCACTAGGGAAGCTGAAGCAGGAGGATCATTGCAATTTTGAGACCAGCGTGGGCTACAAAGTGAGCTCAAGGCCAGCCTGAATGCATAGCCAGACCCTGTCTCAAAAAAGACAAAAAAAAAAAAACAGGCTGCCCAGCGTCAGTTGGCCAGATGGCTAGTAGAGTTAAGAACTCTGCAGAGGATTTTAGTTTGGAGCCCTAAAGATCATGCTGCTTGTCTCATTCCTTTGGGCCTTCACCATATACCCATTTGGGGCATTGGGGATGTAGGCATAGACCCCAATAGGCTTGGGATTTCTTTTTCAAATTAATTTTTAAAAGATATTTTCTTTTCAGTTAACAAGTAATAATTATACACATTTATGTGGTACATGAGGTACAATATTCCAATCACGCATATAATGTGTATAGACCTAATCAAAGTAATTCGTATTTTCAACTCTCTATCTTTTATGCTTTTTTCACTTACTATGGATGAAACCCAAGTGTCCCAAGTACCTCTTCCTAAGCAAATATTTTACCACTGAGATGTCCTTCTAGCTCCCCAGCTCAGTTTTTGTTTGTTTAGTTTGAGATAGGGCCTCATTAAATTGCCTGCACTGGCCTCAAAATTACTACCCTAGGTAATTCCCTTATTTCTTTATAGTGGGAGCCTTTAAACGCTCTTTCTTCACTTCTTCGTAAAACATGTGATAGGCATGGCTTAGGGGTACAAGTCTTGTCTAGGTGAAATACCTAGCCCCTGGTACTTGGAGAAAGAGTTTGAGGTCTGTGGTTAGTGGGGTTTTTCTAATTTACAGTGGCCCCTCATCCATCAGAAGAGAGACTTTGCTTTTTATTTTGAGACAAGTTTTGCTGAGCCATTCATACTGGATTTGAGCTCACTTTGTAGTCCAGGCTGGTCTATGTATAAATATATGCTAATCAGGCTTTAGGGATCTACTTGTTTTTTTTGTGTGTGTGTTTGGTCTTTTTGAGATAGGGTCTCCATATGCAGTTCAGGTTGGTCTGGAGCTTACTTTGCAGCCCAGGCAGGTCTCGAGTTTGCAAGGATCCTCCTGCTTTGGCCTCCCAAATGCTGGGATTACAGGAGTGCACCACCATGCCCGTTTTCATGCCTTTGGTGTGCATGCCTTGGCCTGGTAAATAACCTCCCCTTCCTGCATAGCACCTGTAGTGGGCTCAGTGACCCCTTTGAGGAAGTTGTAAGCTCAGGATGTTTGATGACATTTCCTTGGTTTCTCATTGTAAATCTTTTTTTTTTTTTTTTTTTTTTTTTTTTTTGTCTTTTTCCTTTTTTTATCGGTATCGGGGATCGAACTCATGACTGCCTGCTTGCAAGGCAGGCGCTTATGCCGCTGAGCTAAATCCCCAGCCCAGGTTTCTCTTCCCAATTCTGTTGCCATTCTCCCAGCTCCAGCTCAGATATAAGTAACTACCGACTCTGTCACACGCACTATTATATACACAAAAAGTCAAATACATTGTATGAATGTAAGGCAAATTGTTTTTTTTTTTTGTACCGAGGATCGAACTCACAAATTCACATTTGCCAAGCAGGTACTTATGCCGCTAAGCTAAAACCCCAGCCCTGGGACATTTTTTACCTATCCAGTGATAAACTCACTGCCATACAATTTTTTGCGCGTGCATCTCCTCTCCTGGAACCATTGTGCAAACGAATGTGCACTGCACAAAGGAGTGGTTTGCAAATAGTAAAAAAGGTATGTCAAAACAACAAAAAAGTGTTATTTCTCTATATTTATTTTCAATGTACATCAGGCACTTCAGAACATCTAAAAACATGAGATATTTCCAAGAAAGAACTTAACATTGTCAACTATAAATACTGAAGAATAAAATACACATGGACAATAGTTTTAATGCGATGATTTCTAAATTCAAGTTGGGCGCCACTATATTTGCTTCTGTGTCCCAAAGCCTCTGTTATAAGTGTTCTAAACCACAAACATGGAGGTGTGCCCTCCCCAGTGTCACTTCTAGAAGTGACGTAATAATTCCATTTTTAAAAATTCACTTCCAGGTTAGTGATGGTGATTCATATAACCCTAGCTACTCAAGAGGCTGAGGCAGGAAAGCAAATTCAAGCCCAACCCAGACAACTTGAATTTGTCCCAAAATATGAAAATAAGAAGAGCTGGGGGTGTAGCTCAGTGGTAGAGGGTCTTGCGTTGAATCCCAGTACTATGCTGAAAAGAAGAAAAAACAAAAACGCTTCCCAAACACATTTGTTTTCTGGTTACTTTTCATCTATTTTTTGTGGTGCTGGAGACAGAACCCTGAGCCTCTCCCTTGCTAGGCAAGCGCTCTATTACTGAGCCTCATCGCAGCTCTTTTACAATTTAAAAAACATATTTATAAAATGTATGCTTTTTTGACTATTCTTTATCTAAAACCTCTTTATACCCACAAAGCCCACATACAGCAAGTGTTTTATTTTAAAAGGGGAAGCGCGGAGAGCAGCTTGTCTACGTTGTGCGCCCTCTAAAATGGCGCACTGGCCCTTCCACACAGGTTCCCGCCATTTCCTCTTGGCGCAGCAGCACACATTCTACCCGTTTCTGCCTTCCAGTGTCCGGACCTATCACCCTAAGACCATTAGCGGTTCTAACGGAAGTCTTAACAGTGATTCTGGGCCTGTTCACACAGACCCAGGAAGGCGCCCGTTTGCTCCTGACTCATCTCACATGTATGCCAAGTCTGCGAGCTGAAACCCGGAAAACAGGCCTCTAGGCCAGGGGCTGAGGCGGCCATTTTACACCTACGTGGCTGCGTAGCTGCGTAACCACGGCTCCGAGGCGTAGCCCAACTTCCGGCAGCCGCCATTGTTCTGGGAGAAGGGCTACAGCCTGGAGCGTTGGTGGTGGCGGTGATCTCCGCGGTCTGACAGTTTGGCGCAGCGGAGCCCAGACAGGTCAGTGGGACTCAGGGGGATCCTGTGGACCTCAGCGCTTGGGGCAGAGGGTTTCTCTCTGCCTCAGGAGCCGTGCCGTCCCATGGGCTGCAGCTGTCCGCAAGGCTTGAGATCCCTGCTCGTGCCAAGCAAGCCTCGAGCCTCCCGTGTTACTGCCCTCCCCGTGGCAGCTCCGGCTCATTTTCTTTTTGTTTAACTCAGCAAAGAGTTGCGAGCCTCGGAGAATCCTGCATTCCCGACCAGCATTCACAAGATACTCAGAATCCTCGTGATCTTAGTCACTGGCCCGGTAGAGGTAAGAGGACTGTTTCACAATCATTAATTACTCAAGTCCCACAGCTTTTTGTTTTTGGTACTGGGGATTGAATTCGGGGCCTTTGCAGTGAGCTACATCTTCAACTATTATTTAAAAACTTAGGGGAAAAAAAAAAACCTTACTGAGGCATGGTCCCCGAGTTGCCCAGTTTGGACTTCACTTTTTTCTTTTTTTGTCTTTTTCGTTTTTATCGGTACCGGGGATCGAACTCACGACTGCCTGCTTGCAAGGCAGGAGCTTATGCCGCTGAGCTAAATCCCCAGCCCCTGGGCTTGAATTTGAGATCCTCCTACTTCCGCCTCCCACAATGCTGGTGTTAGATGTGTGTCACCACCATGCTAGTCTTCTTTGTGATTTTTATTTTTACATAAAATCTTGCTAAATTATCCAGGCTGGCCTCAAACTTGTGATTTTCTTACTGTAGCCTCCTAAGGCTTCGATTACAGGAGTGGGCTGTCGAGCCTGGCTGATTTTGTCATACTTCCTAGAGCAGCCAGTTTAACAACAGCTATCCCATAAGATCAGAATGTTTAAAACATGTTTTTCCTTTTTTTCTCCCATTGAGTTTGTGTCTTGCTATGTTGCCCAGGCTAGGCTAAAACCAACCTGTTTCAGCCTCTTGAGTAATTGGGATTACAGGTATTTGCAGTTATGTTTGGCTGTACTCTTATAAAGATCCTTGCTATCTCCCATACCCTACTTTGGGTTTTTAAACATCCTGTTAAAAGTCTGTCCTTTATTCCTTGAACTATTCCTTTTAGAGCTATTTTCATTTCATCAACTATCTCAAAATTAATAATAAAAGAAAAAGATTTTTTTTTCGGTCTTTTTCATTTTTATCAGTACCAGGGACTGAACTCACGACTGCCTGCTTGCAAGGCAGGTGCTTATGCTGCTGAGCTAAATCCCCAGCCCCAGTTGCTGAGCTTTTAAAACAACCCAAAGACATTCTGTTGGAAACAATTTAGCCAGAATCTTACGTTAATTTTGGTTGATACCTGTATCCTGCTTCTTTGTTGAGCAGGTTAATTTTTCACCAGTGGGGATAGCTCATTATACTTTTCTCATGGGAACTCTTAAGTAGTTTTCCATTCTCCTGAGACAAATACAGGGCACTAGTTAAATGCAGGGCTCAAGATGGCGTCAGTTATGCCAAGCTGTAACAGTGCCATCATACCCACATTAGTCAAATTGTAATAGGCACATACTCCTTTTTCTTTTCACTAGATCCAGATTTGTTAGCTTCAAATAGGTCTCTCATGATCTTGAAATTTCATCTCTTCCCTTAACAAAATTCAGAGTGCAGAGTTGTATGTATGTGTAAGTCATGTGCATATTTACTTTCTTTCACTGTGTACATTTGTAAATACAGGGGAAAGTTGATAAAATCATGCTGGAAAGGTTAAGAGTAGGGCATGTGGTTAAGTTATGAAGAGGTCATTTGAATTTTACCATATCAAAGAATGTTACCTTGTTGTTCAGGCTCCCGGTGGATATATATAGATCATACTTGGGTACCTTTAAAAGATGAAAATGAAATAAGGAGTTTATGATGCTTTCAAAATATATCTACAAACCCTAGGACATTGTTCTGTTTATGAATTTTTTTTTGTCCTTTTGAGACAGGGTCTCATTGTGCAGTTTAGGCTGGCCTTGAGCTCACTTTGTAGCGTAGGCTGGTCTCGAACTCACTAGGATCCTCCTGCCTCAGCCTCCTGAGTGCTGGGATTACAGGCGTGAGCCACCACGCCCGGCTCTCTCTGTTTATGAATATTAAGCAGAGTGTGGTGGTACATCCTATAGTCCCAACCCTGGGAGACCGAGCCCGGAAGATCCTGAGTTTGAGTTCAGTGTGGGCAGTTTAGCAACTTCAAGACTCTATCTCAAAATATAAGTTTAAAAAAATAAAAATTCTGGAAATACAGTACAGTTCAAAGGTTTAATCTCAAAACTGCCCTTCCCCTCAAAAGAAGCAGGAGGAGAAAAGCAGTGTAAACTGGGTTTGGTGGCACATGTCTAATTCTAGCTCTAGAGACAAAAGCAGCAGGAGATTTAGCTCTAGCAAAAGCGCCTGCCTGGCAAGCACAAGGTCCTGAGTTCGATCCCGGGTGCCAAAAAAGAAAAAAAATTATTCTAGAGACAAAGGCAATAGGGTTGAGAGTTGAGGGCAGCCTAGGACTTAAAAAAACACACACACACACACACAACTGAAAAATGTTTTCCTCGAATGCAGGAGGTTTCAGATGGTTTGTAATTTTCTCTGTCAAATCTGGACTCCTTTCTTCAGGAAGTGGTCATTTTCTTGAAGTACAAGACAGTAATTAGAAGGTGGTTAGGGGAGTCTGTCACCATTAGTTTGGTCATTGTTTCCTGATTTTTAGTGAAGGAAGCAAAGAAATACATACTCCATAGCTTTTAAAAGATAAATCAATCATATATGGGAAAAGTTATTTGGATGGAGGTGTCTTTGTGATATAGGTAAATTTGAAGTTCATCATTCTGCTTTTTCAGTTATCTTTTTAAAGTTGAGCTACCAAGAACACAACATTAAATAATTTTTTTGATAATCTTACGATTTAATTGGAACACAACAAATTATTTTTCCTTATTTTAATATAGTACATTTCTGAATCATTCAAATTGAGCTGTTACTGCCTGACCAAAATGAGTATGTTTTTTACTTTAGCTAATTTTTTTTTCAGTGCAGTCTATAGCCCAGGCTGGCCTCAAACCCCTGGCAGTTTTCCTGTCTTAGCCACCCCAGTGTTGGGATTACAAGTGTGTGCCACCATGTCCAGCAACTGTTAAAATTAACAAAAATTGCACATCAGTATGAAAAGTAGTATTTCTTGAGAAAAGATTTATAATATAAAAATAATGCCTTTATGAAATTCTTTAGTCCAGGGAAAATATGAAGCATGATGAGACTGTCACTTTGATCATTTTGACCTAGTACAGCATGTTTCTGCCTACTCCCTGACCTATAAAGGTATTTATTTCCCATTTAATGGAAATCCTTCCCTGGAATGTATAACATCAGTAAACAGTGATTAAACAACCTCTGCCATTTGAACCTGGTCCAAATCACCAGGCCTGGTTTAGGGTAAAACAGAAACTTACATACATTTGGAAAGCAGGAAGTACAAAGCTGATACTGGGTTATTTTATAATTGAATTTTATCATATTTTGTTCGGCAGATTTATTTCAGGCAGGTTTAGTTGGGGTTTCTTATATAGCAGGGAGGTCAGGCGTTGAATGAGGGGGTAGAATCAGTCATTGTCATTGACAGAGCTGGTTTGTCTCCAGGTGATGAGTCCTTGAAACAAGTTAGTGCAACAGGATGCACTCACTGGCCCTGGTATGGATAAAAAGGAAAAGACAAAAAAAAATTAAAAAATAATGTCAGGCTATCAGTTTTAAATTTTCCCTTACAGTTTCATTTACCAGTGTTCTTTATTTCTTCATCTGGCTTCATACTACTTTCTAATATCCATTACCTTTTGGCAGTAAGTAGTACTGTAGTAGAGGTTGCTGTCTTCTTTTTTCCTCTCCCACTTCATCCTTTAGCCATGCTGGGGAATCAAACTCTAGGCAAAGATACATACTATCATACTTCATCCCAACTCTCCTTTTACAATGTGTTTGCTTTTAGTTGTCCTTGTAGCATTTCTTCTAAGGCAGGTCTACTAGCAACATACTCCCATCTTTTTTTAATTTGAGAAGGCCTTAATATCATCTCCCCCCATTAAGCATAGCAGCATTCTACCAGAGACATGGTCTCATTAAGTTACCTAAGCTGGTAACTTAGTGAGCGGCATTCTACCAGAGACATGGTCTCATTAAGTTACCTAAGCTGGTAACTCTCAAGTAGATGGGAGTGCAGGTATGTGTTACTGCATCCAGCTCTTTTTTCCTTTGGAGTCAGGGTCTAAGTATGTAGTTCAGGCTGGCCTTGGACTCACTGTGTATCCCAGACTGCCTCAAACTTACAGCAGTCCCTTTTGTCTCAGCCTCCTGATTGCTAGGATTACAGGTGTGAGCCACCAGACCATCCAGCTCTTCATTTTTGAAAGCTATTCTCACCTGGTGTAGAATTTCCTGGTTGATGGATGTTTTTGTTTTTTTTCGTTCAGCACCTTAAATGGGTAACCTCATTGCTTTTTAATCTTCATAGTTTTGTTGAGAAATTAGGCTGTTAATTTTTTAATTCTCTGTACATGATGAGTTGCTGCTTCTGTGCTGATTTCAACATACTCTTGATGTCCACAGTCGTCCTCCCGGTGTATGTAGAGACATTTGTTACAATTGATTACCTCCAGTTTGTTAGTTCTTTTATTAGTATGATTTGTGATACATAATTCACATTTATTCTAGAGAATTTATATAAATTCTTGGTCATTTTTACTTCCCAAAGCACTTCCTGCTCTCTTGTTTTCCCAGTCTTTGTTTTTTGACAGTTTGATTATAATATGTGTCAGCATGAAGTTCTTTGTGTTTATCTTGGTTTTGTTTTGTATTTTTCAGACTGGGTATCACTATGTTCTCTAGACTCCCTTGAACTAGGAATAAATGATTGTCCTTCCTCTGCTCTCAAGTAGCTAGGATTGCAGGCACATGCTATTACACTTCACATCAACTCCTAGTATTTTTTATCGTTGTAATATACAGTTGTTCAGCCTGCCTGCCTTTCTTTTTTGTAACGTGCTAAGAATTGAACCTGGGCCCTTTTATGTATTAAACTCATTCTCTAACACGGAACTGTATTCCCAACAGTTATATTTTCTGGTAGTATTCTTTACTAGTTTGTGTATCTCACTGACATTTTTGTTGTATTTTCTTCAACATACTAAGTTATTTAAATATCTTTAACCCAAGTTTGTTTCATTTGTTGTCTTTCATTTATTTAGCTGTTATCTGTTTATTATATTACTTTTTTTTTTAAAGACTAGAAAATCTGCTGTTCAACACTGTGGTGTATACATTTCATTCCATTCTTCACCATGTCTTCACATAAGACCTTCAGGATCAAGCGATTCTTGGCCAAAAAACAAAAGCAAAATCGTCCCATTCCACAGTGGATTCAGATGAAAACTGGAAATAAAATCAGATACAACTCAAAGCGAAGACATTGGAGACGGACCAAGCTGGGTCTTTAAGAAATTGCACACGAGTTTATACATATACTAAGATCATTAATGTCAAGTTTAAAATGTCTCCACCGTTTAAACGACATGCTTATTTGGAATATTTTGTCTTTGTTCCTATGATTAATAAACATGTGAAACCTTTTGTTTGAAAAATAAAATTTTTGGATGTGTGCTAGAATTTAACATTTTGTTTTTGTTTTGTTGGTTTTTTTGTTTGTTTGTTTTGCAATGCTGAGTATTCAATCCAGCACCTAAAAATGCTAAGCAAGTATTCTATCACTGAGCTAAACCCCCAGGCCTTAACATATAAGAAGAAACCCATTTGTCAATTTGAGGCCATTGAATTCTCTTTTTTACTAGTTACACATCACTGCTAAAATTTGTCAATTTCTCTTTCTCCCAAGTAACAGCTCTCTGATCCATGATCTATGCTCCCAAATAACTGACAGGTGGTTTAAAATGGCTCTTTAGTCAATTTACACTTCTGGATTATTTTTATTCTGTAAATATTGTTTAGTTTTGCATGCTTCTACTTCTCTAGGGTTTTTGTCATTTGTATTATTTAGGTTTTTCCTGGTTACTAGTGGAAACATTCACCCACTAGGTTCTACATGGGTCAACCAAGTTTTTCTTGAAAGGTTTTCTATTTGTGTATAGTTTATATGTTAGCGTGTCAATGTGTACCACAAAAATAGCCATAGATGACACATGCATAAATATTGTTCTGAGTTGTCCAGTGTGACCTTAACTGTACCCTCCAAATACTTGGGGATAATTTATATTTACTCATTTGTCATATTGATCAGGGATCTTTGAAGAAACAGCAAATAATGTTGGGCAGGAAGTTACACATCAGTAGGCCTGGAGACAAGTGGCTGGGGACCATGTGAGGGAAGCTATGTGAGAACCAAGGGAAGTTTTTTGTTTGATTTTTCTTTCATTAGCTATAGATCAAATCCAAACAAACCTATAAATCTCCAGCTATGACTGAAAAGAATGTATCCTGTCTGTGTATGCTGATGAGATTCAGGACCCTGAAGAAGTTCAAACCTTAGAAAAAGCAGGGCTGGAGATGTAGCTCAGTGGCCTAAGTGCCTGCCTTTCAAGCGTGTGGTCATGAGTTCGAGCCTCGGTACCAATAAAAAAAGAAAAAGCTTTAATGTCTCAAAATAGCTAAATGTAAACCACACCCAGAGAGTAGTCAGGGGTTTTCCTTTGGCATTTGATCAAAACAACTTGAAGCCCCATTTATCATAAAAGTGGACTGAGCCTTAATTTGGGTGTCTTTTACTTTTGTTGTACAATAGACTGCCTATACTTGCCACTTCTGTGTTTGTGTCTTGCTTGAACTCTTTCTTCCCCCAGCCTTCACACTGAGCTATAGTAAGTCCCTGACTTACTGAGTTTTGTTTCTGGAAAATATTTGTAAATTATTGGTGAGTGCAGCAGAGAGAGTCTTACACACTCTTGACACAAATATATAATGTAACTGCATTGCCACTGCTTTTCCTCTTGCTTCCAGCCACTTTGGGCTCTTAAGAAAGCACTGTGCTACTGTACACTATTTACTGTACAGTACACATAACTGTGACACTGTCCAGCCAATGACATGAGCTACTTCAAGATAATTCAAGGTCTATTCATAGCTATGCAAGTTGGGGACTTAAAAGTATATGCCCAGCCCCTTTTAAAATTTTGAGACAGGCAACCCCAGGCTAACCTTGAATTTACATTCCTCCTGCCTCAGCCTCACAAATGGCTAGAATTACACATGTCTACCACTACATCCAGCAGATTTTTAAAATTTTGAGACAAGTTCTCACTGAGTTGCCTATGCTAAGAATTTGCGATCCTCTTGCCTCAGCCTCCTAGAGTGCTGAGATTACAGGCATATTCTACCATGTCCTGCTTTATGTTTTGCTACTAATTTAACTCATTTGTCTGGTTGTGGCTCATTTTTCTGATAGGTAGTTGTGACAAGGGTAAGGCAGGCATCTGATAAAAGAGGGGTTTCACCTGATTGATGGTGGTTTATGCTGCTTCCTACAGAGCAGGTGATACTCATGATCCACCTCTTCAGGGGCATCCTGTGATGACCGCCTAGAGGGCACCACTCAAAAGCAGGCTAATCAAACTTTTGATTAGAGACTTTTGATAACAAGACTTTTTGTTATACTCAAGTATGATGGGGACCCAACTGACCAAAAGGACAGAGGTGTACAGCTTTTATGGTAATTATGGGGTAGAAGGAACTCAATTTCAGGATGTTTAGGGTACTCAAGAGAAACAATACTACCAAAAGAAAAAAGTCGGGAGATGGTGGCACATGCCTGTACTCCCACTGGGATGCTAACTCAAGAAAATCACGACCAGTTATTAACACAGTAAGTTCAAGGCCAGCCTGCCTTACAAAGAGAAACCCTGTCCCAAGCCCCACTCTCCACCTCCGTCCCCTCAAGTTGGCCCTAGCATAGTTATCTTTTCTTGTTTTGTGGACCTGAAGATGGAACCCAGGACTTTGAACGTACTAGGCAAGCACTCTTGCAGTGACTTGGAGAGATACCGGAAACCTTTGCACTGAGCACATCCCCAAGGTCCCTCCATCACTCATATGTCCAGGCTGGGCTCCAAATTTAGATACTCCTGCCTCAGCCTCCCAGTGTGCTGAGTTAGTGGAGGACCAGTTATTTGAATTGCAAATTTGAAAAGATCGTCAAAAAACTCAGTAATAAAGATACACGATATTTATATACGATATTTGAAAGATACAAACCTCTACACAACCGGTTTACATCGGAGCCTTTTCTCATAATCAAAATTTGCTGTTTAGGGCTGGGGATTTAGCTCAGCGGCATAAGCGCCTGCCTTGCAAGCAGGCAGTCGTGAGTTCGATCCCTGGTACCGATAAAAACGAAAAAAACAAAAAATTTCCTGTCACAGTCTCCGAAATGCTATCAAGTCCTCAAGAACGAAAGCCTGGCTCCGGCGCTCTGGGAGGCGACCCCGCCACCGTTTCGCCGGTTTACGCTTCGCACAGTGGCTATTGCCCCGCCCCGCTACCTGCTTGTCCCTGATTGGGTGGGCTGGTGCGTGCTCGCGCTGCCATTGGCCGGGTCTCGGGTTGGCGGAGACAGATTTACCTCAGCGGGACCCGGCCCCAGGCTCTTTCTGCGCTCTCCCGCGGCTCGCAGCGGTTGTGGAGCGCGGCGGCTGAACGGTTTCGCTGTAAGTACTCACCTGTCCGGTAGCTGCCCGCGGGAGCTGCTGTGAGGCGCTGAGGGCCCCCCCCCACGCGTGGCGAGTGAGGCGGTTGCGTCGGGCCGGGGCCGGGGCCGGGGCCGGGGCCGGGGCGCGTGTGGGCGCCTGGGCTTGGGGCTGGCGCGGAGTCTGGCTGAGAGGTGGTGCCCCGCCGCTGGTAAGTGAAAGAGAGCCTTGCTCTTGTCCCACGGCGTCTACTGGCCAGTCTGTCTACTGGGCGGACCCCCAGCCCCCGCCATCATTCATCAGTTCCCAGGGCCCTGGAGTCGTTCAGGTCGTCCTTACATGAAAACCCCCAGGTGCCTCGAGTTGGCTGGACCAGGGCGAGTTGTTGTGAGACTGTAGACTCCAGGGAGGGTACACAATATTGAGGAGGACGTTAGAAAGATGGAGGAGCCTGAGGCACCGATCACTTTGTAAATTTTCATAATCTTGGGAGGACCTTTAAACTCAGGCAGAGCATTTTGCACTGAGCTACATCTCAAAAAGACAAAAAAAAAAAAAAAAAAAAAAAAAGCCTCGTTAAAACTGTCTTTGTTACGGGAGAGGGTCTCACAAAGTTTGCCAGGTTAGGCTGGAATTGGCCATCTTTCTGTCTCAGCCTCCCAGTGTGCTGGATTGCAAATATGCACCACCAAGTCCAGTTTACAGCACAAACTTTACCAATATAGTCATTTTCTGATTTAATACTGAGAGCCTTTTTTACTTGAAGTTTATTTTTTATTGTTTTAAAGAAAAAGTAACAATTTTTCTTATCGTCTGTCTCACATTTCTCCAATTTTGGCTAATAGTTTCAAGGATGTGTCTGAACATGAGAAACAGTAAGTGCTCTGTCTCTGCTTAAAACCCAACTGAGAAAAGGGACTTTAGTCTTCGTATGTTATTATGTTGAAGATGAACTTTATAAGGTAGTCAGTACAAGTTGCTTGTTAATTTACATGTAATAGTTCTGCTCTTAAAATTTACATATAGTCACAACCTAGAAACACATTGAATAATATTAGAAAAATTGTCCTATCCACCCTATTTTTATTAGAATTTTGTGGTTGTCTTGTAGCCAATAAATGACTACCAACATAAATATTTGCAAATTAAATGAGGAAAGAACATTCAAAAAAGGATAATGTAGATAACATAAAAGCTATTGAAAACCCAAAAATGTGACTTCTGAATGTTGTAACTACTGAATTAAGCTTTTGTGACTTATGATTTCATTTTTTTTTTCTTTTTTTGGTAGTGGGGATTGAATTCATGACTTGGAGCTTACAAGGCAGGCACTTACACAGCTGAGCTAAATCCCTGCCCCTTATGCTTTCATCATAATTTGTTTATATTTCAGGTTATTTTTAGAAATGCTGAAAAATCTGACCTTAAAGACTGACCTTAATTGGAGTCTTATGTACAGGTATGCACAGACCACACCTGGAGGTTAACTTCTGGCTTAACAGAAGTGCATGAGCAGTAATTTAATTTGTATTGACTTGTATGCTTTTAAAAACTGGTATGATCTTTGCTATGGAATAGTGGCATATGCCTGTAATTTCAGCACAGGGGAAACTGAGGCCATAGGGTTGCTATGAGTTTGAGTCCAGCTTGAACTACATAGTGAGACCCGTCTCAAAAAACCAAAAAAAAAAAAAAAAAAAAAAAAAAAAGTAATTGGTATATTTTAATATATGTTGAATTTTCATCTCTGCTTATTCCTTTGACCTTGTACTCCATTGCAGCCCTTAATTCTGCCATATTTTCTTGCTAATTAATACTTTGACTTTTATTACAGACCTATTGGATGATCCCTTAGTTTTTACTTATGCATATATCATAGTTCTCTTATCATGAGTCTGTACGAATATAGTAGTATTTTCTGTTTTTTTTTTTTTTTTTTGTCTTTTTCCTTTTTATCGGTACCGGGGATCGAACTCACGACTGCCTGCTTCAAGGCAGGTGCTTATGCCGCTGAGCTAAATCCCCAGCCCCTAGTAGTATATTCCTGCATATACTTGGGAGGCTCAGGCAGAATGATCTCAACTTTTAGGCCAGCATGGGCTATTTTATAAGACCTTATTTCAAAAAAGGCAAAAAAAAAAAAATTCCCACCCAGATGTATTTCCTTTGATGTAGTCCCATTTTCATATATTGGATATTTTTCTTTAAAAACTTTTTTAGCTTTAAAATGAATGAATACTCTTAATAGGCTGAGTGAGATAATACAAAATGCAAAGAACACTATTCTTATTGTCACATATCATTTACTTATTCTGCTGTCTGAAGCTTAAACCTGGACCCATGCTATTGAAGTACATTATAATTGACTTAGATAACTTTTTATTCTTCATCTTTACTAATCTGAGGAAAACAGACTAGTCAGAAAATGTCTAAAGAGAAATAACTGTCTACAGCCATACCACCCTGAACACGCCCAATCTTGTCTGATCTCGGAAGCTAAGCAGGGTTGGGCCTGGTTAGTACTTGGATGGGAGAAATAACTAAATTTTAGAGGGAGAATAGATGATAACATGTATTTTAACTTGAACTTTTGAACTCTGTAAGAAATGTTTGTTAACCATTAATTGTGTAGAGGCATTATAGGTGTCTACTAAATAGAGTGGTTTCTACTAGTATATCCCTAAGCCTCTGTTGTAGATAGTGCTGTTGAAGTGATAAGGTAGCCGTGGCAAAAGTTATACTAAGGCCTGTTCTGGCACTCTTTTTTTTTTTTTTTTTTTTTTTGTCTTTTTCCTTTTTATCGGTACCAGGAATCGAACTCACGACTGCCTGCTTGCAAGGCAGGGGCTTATGCCGCTAAGCTAAATCCCCAGCCCCTTCTGGCACTCTTTATAAGGAAGAGAATAACTGTGACTTTCTAGAGAACTGAGCTACATCCCCCGTTGGGTCCTAGCTAAGCAGCAGTGTTACCCAGGAGGACTCAAACTTTTGATCTTCTTGAGGGCTGAAAGTATGGTTCACTCTTAAGGTGCTTGCACAAGGCCCTGGTTTCATTCCCCAGCACCAGCACCAACACACATACACATACACACGAAGCCATACTAAAAATAGAGATTTTTCATTTGGGGCCTTTAACAAGAATAGTGTGAGAAGAAAAACCCACAATCATTATATATGTGTAGCTTCCAAACTATTTGAGAAAAGCAGCAATAGCTACATTAAAAGAAGTAGAGTCCAGATCCAGAGTCATCATGTTTTCTCCCTCTTACTATTTTGGTGGTTCCAGGAATTTACCACAGAGCTATGTACCCAAGTCATTCATTCATTATAGGGTGGGTTTTTTTGTGTTTTTATTCTTTTGTTTTTTGTCTTTTTGAGACAGGGTCTCGCTATGCAGTTCAGGCTGGCCTTGAGCTCACTTTGTAGCCCAGGCTGGTCTCGAACTCGCAACGATCCTCCTGCCTCAGCCTCCCGAGTGCTGGGATTACAGGCATGAGCCACCACGCCCAGTGGCTTGTTTTTGGTTTTATTGGGTTTTTTTTTCTTCGAAACAGTCTTGCTTTTTAGGGTTTAGCTATTTAGCTTAGAGTTCAGTTTAGATTGCTCTTGAACTCACTACATACCCCAGGGTGGCCTCAAACTCACATCCATCCTACCTCAGCCTCCTGAGTGCTGGGATTACAGGCATGTGCCACCATGCTTTGTTTACTTATTTTTTAAAACAGGGTCTTGCTTAGGTGGCCAGGTTGGCCTCAAGTTAATGTCCTTCTGCTTCAGCCACCCCAGTAGTGAGAATTACAGGCATGGGCACCCTAGTGTTGTACGTCTACTCTTTTTTTTTTTTTTTTTTTGACAAGAACAAAACCAAATGAGAGAAAATAAAATGGGGACAGTAAAAACAAAAGGATGGACATGGTACATGACTTAAAACCAAAATACAAGGTGCTCAACAATGGTTATCATAAGGTCTCTTGTTATCTTCAATAGAATCGCCTATATCATCAGGCATATAAAATTGAACATACCAGTACAGAATAGAATCAATAAAAACAAAGCAATAGAGACATTATAGGACTTCAAAAGAAGATAATAGTCAAACCAGAATGGGTATCATAGTGAATCTTACTGTCTTCAGAGTAGTTGCCTATACCCTCAGACTTGATACTATCAAACATAACAGATTCGAATAAAATCAGTCAAGATAGCTATGAAACGAAACAGATTCAAATAAAATCAGTCAAAACAAGTCAGTGAAAGCAATACAGGGCTTCAAATGAAGCAAAATGGTTGCCATAGTATATCCTGCTATCTTTGGAATAGCTGTCCATGCCATTAAATACAAGTAGACAAACTAACAAATTATGACCAAACTAAACAGGGATGAAAACTATGGGTTTCAGATCATGATAAAAGATTAACCATGTCTTCTGCCTTTTTAGACAATTCCTCCCCTTTCAGTTTCACAGGGTATATTGTCCATTTTGTATTCCACTAACTCATAGTTTTTAGAATAGGCAGGCAACCCAGTATTTACCTAAGTGGTTCTGAACCTTTTTACCCCTGAGGATGATCTCAAGTTGTAGTTCTCCATTGTGTAAAAGTGTTATGCCTTTTCAACCAATCTGCAGTTGATGGGCAAACTGCCCCTACTTTTTTCTGGTTCTATGTGGTTCATACTGCATTCTGTGACAGTCCATAAACTGTCTTTCAGGTTAATTATATTTCTTATCAAGCAACTTGATGGACCCTATCTCCTGATCCACTTTGCCTGTGTTTCTTTTTATGAGTATATCGAGGCCATCCATGTTAGTGATTATGGCCAGCCTTCTCTGCCTATCTCTGCCGTGCTACTTTTCCCTTTCATTCCAATGTCTGCCCCTTCAGTGAGCCCCCTTTGCCGCTGTTCCTAAAACTGTGGTCTTTTTTCACTCTCTAGATTGTGCTTCAGTATTTTTTGTAGGGTTGAATTGGTGGTCGTGAACTCCCTCAGTTGTTCTTTGCTATGGAAGCATCTTGTTTCTTCATTAATTTTTTTTTTTTTTTTTTTTTTTTTGGTGTTTGAGACAGGGTCTCTCTATGCAGCTTAGGCTGGCCTTGAGCTCATTTTGTACCCCAGGCTGGTCGAACTCCCAACGATCCTCCTGTCTTATCCTCCCAAATTCTGGGATTACAGGCATATGCCACCTCACCCGGCTCTCTGTTAATTTTGAGAGATAGTTTTGCCAGGTACATCAGTCTGTGTTAGAGGTTATTTTCTTTCAGTGCTTGAAATACTTCACTCCAAGCTCTTCTTGATTTGATGGTTTGTGTCGAGAAGTCTGCTGTAATTCTGATGGGTGTTCCCTTGTAAGTGATCTGTTTCTTGTCTCTGATGGCTTTTAATATTCTGTTCTTATATTGGATTTCTGGACTTTTGATCCTTATATGCCTGGGTGGTGTTCTTTTGGGTTGTAGGTTGCTGGGGTCCTGAATGCCTCATACATCTGAGTGTCTTTACCTTTTGCTAAATTAGGGAAGTTCTGGATTATTTCTGTGAATAACCTTTGTAGTTCATTTGTTTGTGTCCCTACTTCTTTTATGTTCATAATTCTTAAGTTATAGATTCTCTTATCATCTTCAAGTCTTTGTGTTATTGCTGTTTGTTTTCCTGTTATTTTTAAGAAGTTTTTATTTCATGCCCCCACATTCCAAATCTGTCCTCCAGTTCAGATAATCTATCCTTAGTTTGTTTCAAACTGTTATGCCAGCTTTCAATAGAGTTTTTAGTTTCCTGATAATCTCTTTGAACCTGCTTTACGTATTCTATGTTTTCTCTATTTTCTCCATCAAACAAGTCTCCCCTTTTTTTCTGTTCTTCCATTCCACCATCTGTTTTTTCTTGGGCAGTGCTTAGCATTTCTCTAACTATTCTACTTATATCTTTTTTTTTTTTTTTTTTTTTTTGGTCTTTTTCATTTTTATCGGTACCGGGGATCGAATTCACAGCCGCCTGCTTGCAAGGCAGGTACTTATGCTGCTGAGCTAAATCCCTAGCCCCTCTACTTATATCTTGCATTAGGTCCTTAAATACTTCACTTTTGAACTCGTCTATGAGGCTCTGGAGATACCACTTTATGTCTATTGATGCCGTGTCTGATATTGCATGTTTTCTGTCCTCATTCTCCTTTGCATTTACCTTTCCTGGATCAGTGTTCTCAGGATTGGGGGCTGAGGACCCTTTCTTGTTGCTCCGTCTTCCCATACTTTTTGTTCCTTCCATACAAGTGTATATAGGAGGCCCAGTTTCTTTCTGTGTCGGTTAGTTTGTTTGAATTGCGCTGGCTAGGTGTTCCCACCCACTGCAGTGTGCACAGGGAGACACAGACCTGGGCAGCCTCTGCTGGGCTTGCCCCTCCACGTCAATCAACCTACTGAAGGCTTCACTGCTAGGGTGCACCGCCAGGTGCTGGGACCTGGTTT